TCCGCCCCCTTCCTTAAAGGGCCAGCCCCACAAGGTTCCCTTCTGAAAATGGCAAGGGAAGGGTAGGGGGTGTTTTTGCATTTCATTTATGTCTGAGGTGGCTGTTGCGGGGGGTGTTTGTGCTGCATTTAATTAAATTTATTATTAGTATTATTGTCTTTACTATTACTTAAAAGTACAGTTGTTTAGCGGCAGACAGAATGAAAATGGCAGTCCCACCAGAAAATATTTGCCCCAGAAGCCACAAAATCCTGTCTTGGTCTGAAAGCACCCTAAGTCTGTAAGTCTACTGCAACAATTATTGTAGGTATCAAACTGCTTTACTGCATTGCCTTCGATCATTGTCATTCTAGTTTCTGCATGGTTTATAGTATACTGTGCCCTAAACGGGGGGTCCTATTACTTAAAAGTACAGTTGTTTAGCGGCAGACAGAATGAAAATGGCAGTCCCACCAGAAAATATTTGCCCCAGAAGCCACAAAATCCTGGCTTGGTCTGAAAGCACTCTAAGTCTGTAAGTCTACTGCAACAATTATTGTAGGTATCAAACTGCTTTACTGCATTGCCTTTGATCATTGTCATTTTAGTTTCTGCATGGTTTATAGTATACTGTGCCCTAAACGGGGGGTCCCCAACCTTTCGGAGCCTGCAGGAACCTTTGGAATTCTGCCATAAGGTGGTGGGGTGCAACCACAAAACGGCTGCTGGAGGAGGTGGAACCAGCCACAAACTGTTAGGGAGTGAGGTTATACATTACTCCAATAGCAAGATTTCAGGCAGAAGCTGTTTAACAGGATGCCTCTGATCGTTTTACAGCGTCTGATTGCATCATTTTATATTCTGTAATCCACTCTCAGCAAGAAAGGAGGGCTATAAATGAATAAATATTGGACTACACTGTACTACATTATGTGAATGTAGTATTTTGGATGTTTGTGCCCTGTTGTTTTGGCATATTTTCAAGAAGAACAAGAAGAGAAGAGATTGGATTTATATCCCGCCCTTCACTTGGCGTCTCAGAGCGGCTTACAAACTCCTTTCCCTTCCCCTCCCCACAACAGACACCCTGTGAGACGGGTGGGGCTGAGAGAGCTCTGACAGAAACTGCTCTTTTTTCAAGGACAGCTCTTATCAGAACCATGGTTACACTGAAGGACACTACCTATAAAAGATGACCTGGAAGCTTAAGGTATCTGAAATCAAAGCATTATGTGACTGTAGTATTTTGGATGTTTGTGCCCTGTTGTTTCGGCATATTTTCAAGAAGAACAAGAAGAGAAGAGATTGGATTTATATCCCGCCCTTCACTTGGCGTCTCAGAGCGGCTTACAAACTCCTTTCCCTTCCCCTCCCCACAACAGACACCCTGTGAGACGGGTGGGGCTGAGAGAGCTCTGACAGAAACTGCTCTTTTTTCAAGGACAGCTCTTATCAGAACCATGGCTTGCCCAAGGTCATCCAGCCAGGTGCAAGAGGAGGAGTGGGGAATCAAACCCGGTTCTCCCAGATTAGAGTCCGTGCACTTAACCACGACACCAAACTTTTTTTTAAAAGTTGAAATCCAGTTTCAGCCCTGGGGACAAGGTTGCACAGAAATCCTAAACAACTAAGGGAAAGATTACTTAGGGACTCAGGAACATTTTCACTTCTAAGACCCAAGCAGATTGTCCCCCAGCTTAAAGTTCCAAACCCTGTGGCTCACCGAGGCGTTTCCGGCAGTGACAGTCCCATCTTTCTTGAATACCGTAGGGAGCTTTCCCAACTGCTCCACTGTCGTCTCTGGTCGGGGATGTTCATCTCGATCCATACTCTGTTTCCCCTTCTTGGTTTTCACTTCAATCGGTGCCATCTCCGCCTTGAAGTAACCTGCTTCGTGAGCTGTAACACAAAACGGCCGGCACCAAAAAGGTCAGGGGAGAGAAACAAAAAATAGATATCAGTAAGTGACGAACACTTCGATGGGCCAGGTGAGCCTGATCTCGTCAGATCTCAGAAGCTAAGCAGGATCGGTCCTGGTTAGAACTTGGATGGGAGACCACCAAGGAAGTCTAGGGTTGCTCCGTAGATGCAAGCAAGAAGAAGAAGAAGAAGAAGAAGAGATTGGATTTATACCCCGCCCTTCACTCGGAGTCTCAGAGCGGCTTACAAACACCTTTCCCTTCCCCTCCCCACAACAGACACCCTGGGAGGTAGGTGGGGCTGAGAGAGCTCTGACAGAACTGCCCTTGAGAGAACAGCTTTGACAGAACTATAGCTTGCCCAAGCAGCTGCAAGTGGAGGTGTGGGGAATCAAACCTGGTTCTCCCAGATTAGAGTCCACACACTTAACCACTACACCAAACTGGCACTACACCAAACTGGCAATGCCACACCACCTCTGTTATTCTCTTGCCTTGAAAATCCTATGAGGTTGCTGTAAGTTAGCTGCAACTTGACAGTGCTTTACACACCTGCAAGTGATTAACGTGACCTGCAATTCTGAGGTGAATGAGGAACAGAGGCCCACGTACACGGTGGTGTTTGGTTCAGTCCAGGGGTCATTCCCTGCAGGAGCGCACAGGAGCGGAGCTCCAGCAGTAAAGAGCCCAGGGGGCAGGCACATGGAACAAGCCCTGCCCCCTGCTCCCAGCAGCCCTCAGTCAGAGCAAGAAGCAGCCAGGTAAG